AGCAGAGCTGAATGAGACGCAGATTCACTCTCTGCCAGCAGGTGGCGCTTAAAGCATTTCCTTGGTTTCCGCTGTAAACAAAGCAGCGCTGCACTTATGAACTTTAATATGCATTATACAGAGGCAAGATGAAAAGAAAAAATGCCATCTAAACTTTTCTAAAGACAGTAAGTTCCCCTCAGACATACATTCATATAAACTCCTACCCCTAATTGAATCGCGATTTGTTTACCATCTCAACCGATTTAAATCGTCACATATTTGAATCGATTTTCAACCGGCTCGCGGTTAATCGTTACATCCCTATAAACAAACCAATCCTCTTTCGCTCAAATACACCCACCTGTTCTTCGCCAGGCGTATCTCTCTCTTCATTTGCGGGTCATCGCTTTTGCCCTGAGAGCTGATAACGGGTGATGTCATGACGATGGTCTGAGGCAGCGAGGAGGAAGAAGAGCGGATCTGATACGCTTGCATTTCTCCCCCTGCACCTATAACACAGTATCACAGCCAGAGTGTGTCCCACATGTACTAAAGCAACAATACCAGCTGATTGCCAAATGAAAAGGTCATTTTTGCCTTTGTGTGCCAACCTTGGAGCACCACTTGGTTACTAGGCAGCAAAATTTGTTGTCCGTCGGCGGTCTGAGCGTATTGCAGGATAGTTGGCTGGTTTGGGTTCGAGTTGGTCATGGTGAGAGTCTGCAGGCCTTGCACACCCTCTGAACCAGCACTGGCCAGCTGCAGAGAGCCATTGGATGAAATCGTAACTGCAAAGGAGCAAACAAAACTGTGATGGATGGTTTATGGTATAATATTATGCAATTGCTTATTACAACTGTGCTCTAGTTCATGCTGTAAAATAAGAAGAAAAATCAAGTTTGTATAAACAACAAACTGCATGGCTTATGCAACCATTTGCTTCATTTCTGTTGCAAAATACATAGGAAGTTACCACATGATGCATTCCGTACCGCACAAAACCCATTGTATTCAAATAATATGCAGGCTTGGCTTACTATATTGGCCAGTGCTTGTCTGGTAGATCGGGGTAGAGAGTGAGACGCTTGTTATGGCAGAGGAGGTGGAGCTTTCCTCTTCTCCCTCATTCCGAGTCGCCACTTCCTCAGCTGATAGATCGTTTAGAATCTTCCTGAAACACAAAAAGGAACAGAAAGTTTTTGTGTGTGCCTAAACTTTTGGTTTTGTGCCAGAGATGTGCCTGGAGTTTGGCAAGTTTTGATTTCCAAAACAAGAACACAAATCTAATACAAGCACTATAATCATTGAAAAAAAACTTACATTCAAGTCACCATGAAAATCAAACAATTATTGAAGAATTGACAATTCTTATTTTTGAAATGAAATACTGCAGTTGTATTATTATTATAAATGATTTATCTGTGAACATTGTTTTTTTATTCATGCGCACCTCATGAACTTCAATCAAAAACATTAACAACTTTCCCCCTCATAACAAATGCCGGGCAATAATCTCCAGCAGCCTGTCACTTACATGTATCATTGTTGTTTCCAAATGTTGCAATCTCAATCAATTCCAGAAGAATAAAATCAAATTAAATGCTAAATTTTTTCTAATTCGAGAAGCCATTTCACTCAGACATACATCACAATAGAAGAAAAGAGGTTACATGACGACTTTAAAAATGTCTTCCGTCTTCGCTTTCTCACTTTATTAGTCATTAAAGTGCAGGAGAACCATGCTTGGGAGAAACTGCTTGGTTACACAATCACCATGCATAATAATGAGTTTTGTGAGCTGTGCATTTACTGAGGGAATATTTTGGAGCAGATCCAGTTCTTCAGTGTGAAAAGCTGTTTGCTGGTCACTGCCAAGGCCATGAGAGTCCACCTCACTCTGGCTCTGATAAATTCAAACTTGCTACATGTGGTCAAGAGGGTCTGCAAGAGCAATCCCTCTGATTCTCCAAAAACTATGCAAATGAAGGCTAGTAGGATGCCAGCTTTAGAAGTAATTAAAGAATCCGTGTAATTTTGAGGTCCAGCAGACTAAAATTATTTGCCCCTGCCCCCTGGGCTTTTTACCTGTAGGATGGGCGCCGAGCCAAGATCTCTCTTGACCTCGGGTTAGATGCTCCGCTGTCACTTGATTCCTGAGAATCATCACTGTCAGATCCTTGGCCCTAATAGAAAACATTGTTTAATTGGAGGGGAAACATGTCATTGATTTCAATCTGAAGTAAAAGCATTCAGAAGTTTTAAAGATCAGGAAGTTTAAGATCACTGTATGCATGTCTGCACATTACCTGTGCTTGTGCTGGTGGAGACTGGATAACCGATGATTGCGCTGACTGAATCACACCTTGAACCTGGAACTGACCGCTGGGCAGCTGAACCACAGCCACTGGATTCCCACCCAGAGACATCTTTGTACATGATAATCATAACATGAAACAAGCAATTTTGCTGCTGTTTTTTTTTTTTAACAAATGCTCAGTCACACAACATGTATATGTATATACATCATGAAAATGCGTGTACATACATGAACAGTACCTGTGCTATCTGTGATATGTGAGAGGCAGTTATAGTTGTGGGGATGGCAACAGTTTGATCAGAGCCATTTCTGTTATTCTGCTGGACCTCTTCCATTGCCACTGCAAATCAACAATGAGTCAGATTTTGGTCAATATTTAATGTAGATGTGATGCTTTCCATGACCAGTACTTATATACAGAGCTTCCACAATTTACTGTTTACAGAGATTACTTTAAACAAGCAATTTATAACCAGTTATATTTAGAGCTGGTCATAATAATAATAAAACAATCAATAAAAATGTATATTTTTATACTTAATATATTAATTTCCAGGTTATTTCAATCACAATTTCCTCACATTTCTGAAATATCTTACATATTCGATCATGTACATACATTTTAATGCCTTGCAAATAACTGTAAAAAATTATATATTTTTTTATAATTTGTTAAAGGGAAACAAATGTCCTTTTATTCCATTTTATTACGGATGCACGCGCTTTATTTAACATGTTTTGGACTGTTGAACAGAAACACCCGCCCACTACAAAGATAGAGCTGAGAAGTGCCAGGACAATTTTTAATATAACTCCGATTGGATTCGTCTGAAAGAAGAAAGTCATATACACCTAGGATGGCTTGAGGGTGAGTAAAACACACACATTTTTGAGTGAACTAACTCTTTAATATTTCATATAAAAAAAAACACTTAAAATTAGAATTTCTAATAAAAAATAAAATCCACATATAATGTGTGTAAAAATATATACATGAAAATGACTTGTAAAAATTACATGAAATAAATAATAATTTTGGACCAGTGAATTTTGTATTTATTTATTTTTTTCAGGGCAAACAAATTTGAACCAAGGACAGAAAAACTACGTCTAATTATGTACAATTTTGCAGACTGACAGCAAACATGAGAATGCTGAAGAATACAGGCTGTTTTTATATGTGCTTACAGGATGGTCGGTCGGTGTGTGTGTGTGTGTGTGTGTGTGCGCTGTGGTCAACCCAGGCTAACAGTCAAAAGCCTTGATTTAGTCACCGTTTCCATTTCACCCCAACCCTGAGTCAGTACCTTCAGCTCCACCACACACACTTACACTGTCCTTGTGGGTTGCTTTCTACACATTATTGCTGAAACTCATTTATGATTTGATTCCAGTAAAATCATGTTAGTACAATAAATGGAAAATAAAATTACAATGTAATGGAAAAAAACCAGAAAGACTGCTTAACATGGAAGACACAACTCCTCCTGTAGTAGTAAATCAGATGGAGCTGCTTTGTGTTGTTATCAACAGCACTTCATGCAGAACCGGATGCTAAATAACGCCCATCAAATACGCACAGTCCTCGAAAAAACAAGCAATATCGGTATAATTTCTAATTTAATACAGCCATAATAACATTGCGAGCTATACTGACCTGTTGGTTCAACATTTTCGATAATATTGTCTGTTAAAAGTCCACGTTTAAAACAAAAAATCTAAAGCTACAAGCAGTTAAAGTTAACATGATAAATAAAAAAAAAAGACAGCTGCCAATGATTTCATTTAAGGAATTATCTGTGAAAATACACAAGATTCGGCCGGTATTTATAAGCGGGCTTGTTTCTACTACTTTCTTTTTTTAGCGATGTTGCAAATATTTAACGAGTGGCAGCGTCTTAAAGTCTTATTCCTCCATGAGATCCTGATCAAAAGCGCATTTCTAAATAAAGCAAACCGCTGCGGTGTGTTGTGAAGCCTGTGGGCGACTTTATGCCGCGCTCTGCAGAAAGTTCCAAGCGAGTCACTGGCACGCAAATGCCCGCGTCAACAGACGTCAGCGATACGGGGAGCCATTAAAACACCTTCCCGTAACGAGTGCTACAACCGAGCGGACGGGCGCCATGACTGCAGCGACAGAGGAGGAAGAGTAACGTTACAGAACAAAATCAACGCCTTACCTTCAATCCGTTTGAACCGCACCTGGAAACAATAAAGCCGTCTATAGAGATGCCAGGATTCGAGATAAAATTTGTAAAGTCAATTATTTAATAATGCATAGAATTAACCTGGGCGGTTTCCATTGAAAAAAAAAATCTAGATGGCTTGAGGGTTTTTTTTCTAAAGGCCGCAATAAGCGCCGCCCTCTAGGACGTGTTACGTAAAGCTGTATTAAGCTTTGTGATTGGTCAATATCACTAAAACGTAAAGGGTCTGGGGACATGAATGAAACCAATGCAATTTTATGAATTTCTATATTCTGCTTGGCAAATACTATATTCACAAACAAAGATGTGCAAACTGTATTTCAAAATGTACATTATTTTTTACTAGAAGTGGACTCGATGCAAGAGTTCTTAATTATTATTAAGAACAAAAAAATGAAACCCTATTAAGTTTCATGGAGAAATTCTTAACAATATAATTTTCCTGTTATACAGTCCCAGCTATGATGTTGAATTTGTTTTTGGGGAAAAAATTTAGTTAATTTTAATATTGCATTTTTGAAAGAACCTGTACATGGCAGCTATTAACTGTTTCGATCGGTTTGAAACTTTCATTCCTTAATAAAATAATAAGAAAACACAGTTCAGTTATCTATAAAATTAAATAATTTTATAATGAATAATTTTATGACATATTTTACTGAGAAATAAACTTTTTTCTCCAAAAAGCTGTGATATTAAAGCATTGTGTAGGCCACTTTCACCAAAAGGTCAGATAGATAGATAGATAAATAGATAGATAGATAGATAGATAGATAGATAGATAGATAGAGTTATAAAAAACTAACTTCAGAGATGCAAAATAAAAGCCTTTTATTCTTTTTTCTTGGTTTTCATTGGAGTATAAAACAGTTACAATAACCAATGTACAAAAAAGAAAGATGTGAACCAACAGGAAAATGCTTGCTTGCATAATCATGACTTCCTTTTATATCCATGAATGACTAAAAGAAATCGTATCAGATTCTTATAATTGGAATGTGTTCTCTCAATCTCGTAATTAAAAATGCTATGAGAATTGAACAAAGTTTTAATCAACACAGAAAAGTAATATGCATTGTCTAAACAAAAAAAAGTCAAGTTACTGTTGCATGTTCCCATTTTATAGCAAGCAAATAATCTGTATTTTATTTCTTGTATAGTGGTTAAGTGTGTACGTTGCTTTGCCGGATGTGTCCTTTGTTAACTGCAGCTGGTTGCATAGTGTGTGAAACATTTCTTTTGGTTCCAGCACTTAGCTGGCATAACAGATTATCAATTAACTGAACCGACTTTGTCTAATTTTCTGCTTTGTTTTGTTTCTCGTCCATATTAAGACTTGGTTAACGCTTATGTAAATGACAAATACATTCTTTTTATTTAAAGAACAAAATCATTGCAAAACATGAAAGTGAATATTTATAAATGAATATCCTCTCCATCCTGGAAAGCACTATTTCCCTGAATGCCCCATGTAAAAAGCTCATTCACTCGCTTGTGCTTTCATCACATAAGCTCAGCTCTGATGCCATTAATGACAGTGAGAATAGAGAATACATTTCATGACAGCGTCTCTGATTTGGGAAAAGGTATTGTGGAACTCATCAGCAAACAAATGACCTTTCAACGCGGTGGCCATACATACGCATACATATACAACCCCAGAATGAGGTCAGACTAACATACTGTAGTGATCAGTTGTGTAAGGACTCTGAAAATAGTCTTTCAAGCCCCCACGGTGCTTGACTTTATCATGCTTACATCTTAAAGACTTGTACATACCGTAAGATTTCTGAATCTGAATTCTAAACAGAAATGCATGACAGACAGACTTCAACCCATCACATTTCTGATCAACCAGAAAAGAAAAAACAGAAACCGAGCAAGCTATTTACAAGAAGTCTTCAACTTCAGACCCCCGCTCAGCTACGAAGGGATGTCAATGACAGTAGTTAATATTAATCAAAAAATCTGACAGAATACAGCAACTAATTTACAGTACAGTAGAATTTCCCATCTGTACACAAGCAATAATTTACAATTATTTATGGTTTACAAGAAGTTAGTCATTCCTAGTAAAAATGTCTATAGTACAGGAGACCACAACTGTCCTTTAAAGATCCTTTGCCAAACATGTAAAATCGATGCCTTTGTACAGTTAGGTGTTCACGAGGGGCTTGCTTGTACAGAGTCTTGTTATTTTACAGTTGTTTTATTTTATTGTACAGATGCCTGAATTCCTTTTTTTTGCCATTCAGAGGTTTAAATGGCTTGTCCTGATGTTTATAAGCACCTTTAGATGAGAGCAAAAATAGAGCTTTACGTTCCTCAGTTGGTGTTTGGTTTGGGCTTAGTGTGTGATGATGAGGTTAGCAGTTGGTGAATGTTCTTGTCTTACTGTTTTATGTTGAAAAGTAAACAAGGAATGTGTGATTTGTAAATGTAGGGACTGAGGTTAGACTGGGCATTAAAGGGTTAGTTCCACAGAACAGCATACGTCCAGCGGATATTCTCAAATTGCGGATGAACCACTGATGTCACATGGATTATTTTACAGATCTCCTTGCTACGCTTCTGGACTTGGGAACATTTCAGTTGCGTTGCTGTCTATGCAGGGTCAGACAGCTCTCAGATTCCATCAAAAATATCTTAATTTGTGTTCCGAAGATGAACGGAGGTCTTATGGGTTTGAAACGACACGAGGGTGAGTAATTAATGACAGAATTTTCATTTTTGGGTGAACTAACCCTTTAAGCCCCAAAAATGTGTTTTTTTATGTGCCTGCACATTTTTGTGTAAGTCATATGCTACTCAGTAATGCAAGTATTTATATAATACTACACATATGCCCTTGTTGACAGATATTAATAATCCATGTTACAGAATGTATCTGCATTTATCTAATAAAGTGCATAAAGGATAATGAAAAATAACAGGGATGATTATCCTCATGCTGAACTTGTGGGGTTGAGGGAATTAAGTTTTTCAGTGTAATATATAATTGCAAAACTAAAAGAATACAAAAAAAAAAAAAGTGATATACTTTTGGGTATTACATTGCAATTTTTCTAGTACAGCTGTAGATTGTGTACTGTAGAACTAAAACAAATTAAAATATGTACATTTGTAACCAGAATAGCTCCATATCTGAAATTTCGTTAAAGCCCCAGTGGTAAGATTTAAACTGCTAAATGGTTCCAGAACAGACAGCAAACAGAGCAAAATGAGCTGAAGGCTGCAGTCTCTGTAGCACATTTGTGTGTTAACCAAAAAGATGGTGGATGAAACTGTGGGTTTTAACCTGGGTAAGGGCATTCTATGAACCAGAGCATTACAGAAATGTCCTATAATCAATACTGCCCTTGAGAAAGGCACTTAACCCCAGGTTGCTCTGGAGGGACTGTCCCTGTGTCATAAGTATACTGTAAGCTGCTTTGGACAAAAGCATCTGATGAATGACAAATGACCAGGGGAGTATCAATACCCCTATTACCCCAATGCTGTCCTAAAATGTTTCATTTTAAAGCCCCGTAACACACAGCACCATTAATAAGCTGGGTTGCAGATCAATTCTGTGTATATATTCAGAATCATTTAATGCTATATCCTAAAAGAAACTAATCTTCCATTCTTTGCTGTTGGGATTCAGAGGCATGATGTCCTAGTCTGTTCATTAACTTGATTAGCACACTAATACACATCCCAAAAGAGTTGTAACAACACTAATTTAAGATACAGAATTTATATTGCTAAATCTACATAATTCGTTGACTCATGTCTTTTGTAGCTCATCCATCCATCAAGACCTCCTATCATTCATTCTAGTGCTCATAATCGTATAAATTACAGTTTATATTGCACTTTTTTGAGAATTCACTTTGTCTCCCTTTTATGCTTATTCTGAGAATTGACTCCTGGAATCGATTCCATTGATTCCAAAAACTTGGGGATGGGGGGGGGAGAAGGAAGTGAGCAAAAGGGAAATTCTATTATAATATCCCTTCTCCAAAACAGTCATCTCACACATTTGTAATTTTTGTTCAATAACACCTTATCCCTGAAAAAACAGGGCCAAGTCTGTCTGTATAAGGACCCAATCCCAGTTGTGAGGCCAGGCTCCATAGCACCTTTCTGGTAAGCCTTTGTATCGCCCATGACTAAACTCACATGTTGTACGCTACGTATATGGGGTCCAGCTGATCTGCCAGGAAGGAGTCTCTCAAGTGCATTCGCTGCTTTTCTCCTCTGGAGTTTATGGGAATGACCCCTGGGTCAACGATAACCACTACACCCACAATCAGATGGTGCTCCTCTAAAACAACATTGGTTATCAGAGGAACCAGGTCTAAAGCGTCCTGCTCGGATCCGCAGAGTTCAGCCACCACCACCAGCAGATTTGTCCAGGTGAACACGGCACTGCGGAGGGGAAAAACAAATAAGAGGTAATGGACAGCATGATTGCACAATGAAAATTATGCAAAGAGTGTGACGCTGGGACTTTACCTTTCACCAATGCTGCGATGGGCACGTGATACGCTGGTCTCGATGTCAATTGGATGATATCGCAAACCTCTCAATTCTAAAGTCTCATCCAGAGAGCCCACCACAAACAGGGCGTCATGACGATCTAACAAGCAAGAACATTTTTACAAGAATGCATGTGTTTTTTATTAGTGACCTATAAACAGTTCAGAATCTAGGAATATATTCATTCATTTTACAACTTTTTTTTGTTTGAAATTTTTTCAAATTCTAAAACTTTTTTGGTATGCATTAAAAAAAAATCTTCAATGTGGTCTCAGACTTTAGCATCCCACATACACTATATCTCCCTTATCAATCTGTCACTAGCACTTTGCCATTAATTCATCCATTTTTATTTCTCTCTCTCACCTCCACTGGAGTCTGTGAGTTCAGTTCTCTTGACAAAGCCCAGGTATCCAGTTCTGGCCCAGAGTGTTTGAGGATCTCCAAAACTCAGCTTAGTGTTGAAGTGGTCAGCCTGCAGATTTTCCTCTCCGTATATAGTGTAGTATCCTGTTGCATTGTGGGGACTGTTTACCCAAATCTAGGAAAGAAAGAATTGTATTACTGGATAAGAAATCTAATCTTTTTTGATGGACAAAGAAAAAATCCAGAAATATCACTTATCTTGTATTATTTCCAGTCAAACTGTAGATTTCTCAAATTATTAGCCAAATTATTCTTATTTATTATTATTACTATTTAAAAATCAGCCTTAGAAAGACAAAGGAATCACTGTATTCCAAAAATGATTCTCCTATGATTGTTAGTATACAAATAAAATAATATTAGAATGATTGGAAGTGTGTCATAAGGTAGTTCATTTTCTAAAAAAAAAGCACAAAGCTAAAGAAACACCCAATTATTATTCTCCTATGTAAACGGACCTCTCCCAGGTGAGAGTCCCCTAGCGGTCCTCTAGTTTCTGGATTGACTATGATCACCCTCACACCAGGAAGAATCTAAAAGAGGGAGAAAAGGCATTAAAACTATTTTCAATTTCACTTATGCTTGATCCAACAGTGGAAATGTGCTTACTGTTCCAGACTCCACAAGAGGAAGTGACTGTGGCGCTCCTCGCTCTACTAACCTCACTCTATAACACAGAAACACCATCATCAGTGTTGTACAAGGAGAAAGAGTGTTTATTACATGACATAATCACTAAGAGCCGGGAGGAACCAGCAGCTCTGGAGCTTTTTTCATATTTGACAAAACCCGGTCTCATAATTGATAGAATTCTGCACTATTTAAAACTGTGATTTCTGCTCTTTTAATGGCACCAAACACAATTCAGTTTGGCCAAAAAGTGACATTTCACACTTAACTTTTAGTATTTAAACACTATTTGTTTTGTGTGTGTTTATATGTGTTTGTCCT